GTATATTCCAGTGATGAATTCAATTGATTTAATTCGAAAACCACATACACTCATTTGCATTGCTCTCAACATGAAGGAATACTATATACTTTTTGTAGAAAGCTCATTTTAAGTCTGTAATGCTACTAAGTTTTTTTTTTGCATTTTAAAAACATGTAGGCTAAATTTACTGGTAATTTTCTGCCTGGACATTGTCCATTAATGTTATTGACATTTCAATTAACCCTAAAACACAATGCAATGAAGTGCAAAATTCAAAATACAGAAAACACCTGAAAAATCAATATGGAAAACTCTTACATATTAATACAGTACATTGTGATACATAATACAGTACATTTATACAGATTTTATTTTATTTTATTTTATTTTTTTTACAGCGTATGAATCCAAGTCTGTTTGTATCTATTAAGTGTATTTTCTGAATTGGAAACATTCCAGGTATTTTTTTGTATTATACAATTGTACCTTAGTATATACACACCAACTTAAAAAGCAACAACACAGTTCTCAGATTTTAATTGCAATTTAGTAATTAAGGCCTTTTATTAATTTCCAAAAACTGATTATGAACCATTTTAGAAGTTTTGCAGTGCATATAAAATATGAATATAACAATATTTGTGCTGTTCTGTTGCAGTTGACTTTCACGTTTGGAGTCTGGAAGACCCAAGTGCAATATCTGAAAAAAGCTAGATTATACGTTAGCCTATTATCTTATTTAATTTTGTTCATCAGAACTAATCGAAAACAAAAATAGTTTTTTTTTTTGTCGGTGGATGTGGGTAGCAGAACTAAAATAGAAGATGAGACACGGGGGACAAAGAGAGAGGCAGAAGTAGGCTAATGAGATTCACACACTCCTCTGTGTGTAAGTATACTGCTGAAGATGAAAACCATATCAGTGTGATGGAAAAAGCTGGCTCTCCCTCAACTAAACAGCCGTTTTCAACAGCGTTTCATGAAATGCCCGTCAATGGGACTGGATGAAATGAGTGTCTGTGGTGTGCGGTTTCATGAGGAGACAGAAGCTGATCAGATGTTTCATTAGAGCAGTCTGTTGTGTGAGATCCTCCCAAGAGACCACGTGAGCTCTGCTGAAACATCAGAAGGACCCGAGTGTTGTTTTACCGACGACAGAGCGTAAATGGACCTTAGGGGAAGTGAGCGAGGGAGAGAGAATGGCTCCGGGGTAATTCAGATGCCGTAATGTTTTCTTGTTTACTGGAAAGTATGTTGGATTATTAGAGGTTATATTTGTTTATACAGGTCAGATCTGTCTGCACATCCTCATGAAAACTAAATCCAGTAATTGGTAAAGACTAAAGAGTGACTCGCATCAAAATTAAGATGTTCACTGCTCCCTCTGGTGGTCAGTTGATGAAAGCACCATGATTAAAGGGAGAAATGTTTCTTTATTCCAGAAAGCACCTTTGAGAGACGTGTGCTTTCTGTCCCTAATTGCATAGCTTAGCTTTTAGGTTTCTTCTCAGGTGGAATAAGGACTATCTTTGAGTCGACGGGGAGCCGAAAGCTCACTTTGTCTATATAGGTACTTGGGTTTGAAAAAATAATAAGTCACTTCTTCTCAAGTTCACACTTGTTTCTTTATTAGAAGATGAACTACATCATCATCATGTGACACTGAATGTGTTATATTCAGTGTCACATTATGTTTTATATATATATAATTATATATATATATATGACACTAATAATGATGCTGAAAATTCAGCTTTGCATCACAAAAAATATATTTCATTGTATAATATTTTCAAACAGAAAACGGTTATTTAAAATGGATTTTACTGTGTTTTTGATCAAATAAATGCAGCCTTGGTGACCATTAGAGACTTTTTTTATTTTAAAAAACATTAATAAATCTTACAGACTGGCCACTGTTTGAATAAAACTGCTTGAAGTACAGATGTTTTCTAACTTATCAGGGGAAAGTGAAGGTGCCAGGTGTGGGGACTGGATTGATCAGTCCAAAAATGTCTGTCCTCCCATCACGTGAAAAGAGGTCATCTGCTGACAGCTTAAAGGATTATGGGTAAAATGAACTTCAAGCTGCCCTGTCTCTGTAGAGAGAGGTGGAGGCACAGGACGACTTCACAGACGTGATAGTAAACACATGTTTTTCTTTATTTCTTACAATGTGATCAACATGAACATTTTGAAGATGTAAAGCGGTTAAGAGCAGTTTATTTGGTGGTTCTGAGCGGAGAAGATAAAGATGTTGGGTTGGATGGGTTCACTCATTAACAAGAGCTGGCTGGACCGGGATCGCCCTGTGCTTCATCAGGACTGCAGGAAAGCCGGACTGATGGTACAGCAGGACTGTGTGTGTGTGTGTGTGTGTGTTGAAATCAGACCAGCGTGAATAAAGGCTATGTAGTCTTAGAGGGGTTTCTGTGCTCTAGGAGGATTAGATATGCAGCGTGACTAGTATTTGTTGTTGGGTCAAGACTGATTGCTTGTGCTGCTATGCAATGTTCACTCAATTTCAGCCTCTGACTTTCTTTTTGGGCTCAGACTTGCGTTAAATCAGCCAATGGCCCTTTTGTACTGTGACAGAGTGGTTTTCTGTGCACTGTTAAGAGCAGTTTATTTGGTGGTTCTGAGCGGAGAAGATAAAGATGTTGGGTTGGATGGGTTCACTCATTAACAAGAGCTGGCTGGACCGGGATCGCCCTGTGCTTCATCAGGACTGCAGGAAAGCCGGACTGATGGTACAGCAGGACTGTGTGTGTGTGTGTGTGTGTGTTGAAATCAGACCAGCGTGAATAGAGGCTATGTAGTCTTAGAGGGGTTTCTGTGCTCTAGGAGGATTAGATATGCAGCGTGACTAGTATTTGTTGTTGGGTCAAGACTGATTGCTTGTGCTGCTATGCAATGTTCACTCAATTTCAGCCTCTGACTTTCTTTTTGGGCTCAGACTTGCGTTAAATCAGCCAATGGCCCTTTTGTACTGTGACAGAGTGGTTTTCTGTGCACTACATAAGGGCTCAGACTAAATATTCAGAGAGATTCAGTTATCTTGTTAAAAGCCTTTGTTTTTCATGCTGCTGTGCTGAAGTGGCTAATATCTATACGTTTCATCATACATTTTTGACGTTTTTAATTTCATGGCAATTAAGCACACCCACATACTTTTCAATATGTGGTATGTTTTATTTATTCTATTGCTGCTGCCTTTATTTGATCAAAACAGTCATTTTGTGAAAGCAATGTAAAACATAATAGAAAAACAGTATTATTGTGAAATATTAAAATGTAAAATAACTTGTCTATTTCATATGTTTTAATATAATTTATTCTTGTGATTAAAAAGCTGAATTTTTACATCATTACTCCAGTCATGATCCTTCAAAATCATTCTAATATGTTGATTTGGTGATTTCTTATTATCAATGCTGAAAACAGCTTTTTTCTTTTTCTTTCTTTCTCTCTTTCTTTCTCACTTTCTCTTTCTTTCTTTCTTTCTTTCTTTCTTTCTTTCTTTCTTTCTTGATGTTTTATTTTTCAGGTTTCTTTTAATAGAAAGTTCAAAAGAACAGCATTTATTGTACTGCCTTTAAAGGGGTCATATGATGCGATTTAATTTTTTCCTTTCTCTTTGGAGTGTTACAAGCTCTTGGTGCATAAAGAAGATCTGTAAAGTTGCAAAGACTAAAGTCTCAAATCCAAAGAGATATTCTTTATAAAAGTTAAGAGTCAGCCACGCCTACCTAAAATGGCTCGTTCGAACACGCCCCCACATATCTACCTCACTATGTGGGAAGATTTGCATAACGCCGCCCAAATGTTCACGCAAAGAAAGAAGGCGTAACTTTTATTCTCGCTGTAGTATTGTTGCCGCTGCTGCCATGTCGTGAAGACGCTGTGTGCTTCGTTGTGAAAGCGAAACTACTTTGTTTGGTCTTCCAAAAGAGGACGATATCCACTTTGTCATTCCTGGAGCTGATCCGTGCTGATCGCTGGGGGAATACTTAGTGCTGTGGATCGCCGGATCGGCTTTCACCGTTTTCACCGCTCCTTCGCCGGGACCGCCGTTCTCAACCCCGCCGCCTCAGCTCACTCTTGCCCGGCTTCAGCTCACGCTAAGCCGGGGCTTTCGCTCACGCTAGGCCGCTGTGTTTTTAGTTGTGAAAGCGAAACTACTTTGTTTGGTCTTCCAAAAGAAGACGATATCCGCTTCGTCATGCCTAGAGCTGATCTGTGCTGGTCGCTGAGGGAATACATCAACAAGGACTGTTTACTGATCCTGGGAGAGTACACGTCACGTTACGAGTAACGTTCGCTTTTGTAGGCTCCCCACCCATTTCTATTTTTGGGATGAAATATGACCGCTACATGTTTCTGTTCTTTTCATTCAAATGCGTTTGCATGTTTATGCAAATACTAGCAAATGTAACCCTGACAGTGGCTCTCTAAATCTGTTATTGTTTGCTGGATGAAATACTGTAGATTATGAGACACTAGTAAATACTGCCATCCTCTTGGTTTTTTTGCTATGTCTTTGTAAGCAGATGTTTTATAAGCAGGTCTGGTCTGTTTGTAGAAGACACTGTTAATCAGTTAGTTATTCGGTGTCCAGGTTCTTGTGTTGTCTGTTGTTGTTAAGGAGCGTAATCCTCGTCTGTCAGTGCGACCTGTGGCCCATCACTCTAATCTCATTTGTGGTTACACCGATTGTTCATGGCCCTGAAGTTTGGTGATTGGAAATATATATATATATATATATATATATATATATATATATATATATATATATATATATATATATATATATATAATTATTTTCTTAATCATTCAGCCCTAATCCCATATATATATATATATTAATATTAGGGTATTATTATTATATGATAATATAAGGGTTAATACAAGGTTAATGATTAATTTTATTCTGTAAAATCTCCATGAAAATATGCAGCTTTTTCAGGTCTCAAATGTTCATTAGTTGGGTGTTTATTGGATGTGCTCTGTGTTTACAGCCGGTCCAGCGGTGTGGTCTACTCGGCCCTGCGGTCATGTACGGCACACGAAAGACCTGGGACGTTGGCCACACCCCCTGCCTGCAGGAGCTCTGGAACAAAGACCTCTCATTGGATGGTAAGCACTGTCACATGGGTGGACTACAAAACTGGTGTGGCAACATTCTTCTGAGGATAGTTTGAATGTTTGAGTGCATGTAGGAGGTTGGAGATACACAGAGTAGGTGTGTGTTTGTGTGTGAGAGAAGCTCAGTCATCGAGGAGAGAGCAAGGGATGTGTTCTTACCCACTGACAAGGAGCAACGCAGTCAGACGTTTTCGGACCAAACGGAGAACACTATGCGTTCTATCCAGGTAAAGAAGGGTAAATCTCCTTAGAGACGAGAGCAGGGCTTGAACACGAGGACTATTGGTTGTGCCAGGGAAAATATGTACGTGTGCTTAATGCTCTCTGTGCTGCACAGGACAATATAACAACAGGCACAGCGATTGTGTGAGAAACAAAGGACAAAAAGGACTAAAACGGGAAGCAAACAAAGAGGAATATCAGGGAAATGTCTAGCGGCTGGTTTTTGCAGTGATGCAGTGACAGGTTTGCATTCAGCCTGATGCTCTTCTACGAAAGCGGCTCTACTGCTGTGTCATCGTAAACCGCACTGGCGAGAGGCTGCACGTCTCATCCATGAGTGTGACAGAGAGCTGTTTGACGAACAAAACGGTAATTGTTGTTTTTTTGATAAGGTTCAGGGCTGCATTGAAATCCAGGTTAATGCATCACTCGCAGCTGGCTGTTATCTTATCATTAGTCAATGGTTTCTATTATGCCTTTACCAGATTGATGCGTTCTCTGCATAGTCCGCTATTAAGGATTACTTTACCCAAAACTTAATGTTCTGACGTTATTTATGCAACCTTCATGTTGTTCCAAACCTGAAGGAATTTATTTCTGCCAAGTAACACAAACAGAGAAATTAACTGTTTTTATGCAGTAACATTGAATAAGGAGCTGTGAAGATTCAAAAAGGACACAAAAGCTTCAGAAAAATATAAAAATTGTCTTCAACACCAAGGGGTGACTGCCTGCATGAGTGGATTTTTTTTATTTTATTTTTTACTAAAAGGTTCAAAAATGTAATATGATCATGTTAATAATTAAATTCTGGGGGGGGGGGGAAATTGAGTTTGTCTAGCATTCATGTAAATATTACGCATTTCTATAACTCCCTCTTTGGACCAATCAGTGAGAGCAGCAGTGCACCTGAGCAGAACGAAAGAGTGTCCAGACAGGTGTTAAATGTTTTAAAAAATAAAAATGGCAAAAAATTGATGAAATGGTCAAATAAGTCCATCTAGTGCATGTGAGGGGGAAAAGGTAGAAAAACACCTCAAAAATAATCTTTTTGTGAATATCCACTAGGCTTGCCGCGATAGACTGTGTTGACGGTGATACCGGTGTTAAGCCGCAACACCGGTTACGTCACTTTCCCACCACGGCACCAACCCCCACCGTCGTTTTGATTTTTTTATAGTAATAAAAATCATTTAGTTCAGTAAAAGAACAGACACTACAATTAAACTGAACGACAGTCGCATCACAGATCAGATTGAATTTCTCCAGTGAGGAGAGTGAGTCGAGCTGACTGACAAGAAGAGTGAGGTGAGACAGACAAGACGATCGCGGATGATTTAGTTTCGAAACGAGATACAAAAGTGCCTGTTTGGCAATATTTTGGATTTTGAAAAGCCTGTTGACTTTTGCCGTTTATCTAAGGTGATTTTGGAAGTTTTTTTTAAACATTCGTTTCTTATTTAATTGTTCCACAGTGTTTGCTGATTTTTACTTTATTTAAGCTTTGTATAATTTATTGATTTTATTTGACATCAAGGTGTATGCCGTGCCTCCAAGCATTCTTACTCGTTTTGATAATAAACTTTCATTCTTATTTATTTGGTTATATTATACATGTTTACTTATTTCCAGTTTTGTATACCTATTTAAACTTTATGCAAGTTATTTTATATTAGGCATAGCCTGCCCTATAGCATGGTGTATTTTTATTAGTTTTGGTAATAAAAGTTCTGTGTTTTATATATAGGCTAAAGTGAGTTTGATGTTGTATTTTGTTGTTGCATTCAAGCAATTGCCGCTAATTCAAAAGTGAAAGTAAAATGCGCAAGGTGCTTTTAAGCTATTTAAAAGTGAAGGAAAGCGAGGAAAAGGGGGAACACCCCGCCCCCACGGTGATACCGGTATTACCGGTGTTGTCACACCTCAATTAACCGGTGGGAAAATGTCCTCACCATCACAACCCTAATATCCACTTTCTGCATTCTTATGTGTTTCGAAGCTGCTTTAGATGATTCAGTGAGAAACACAAATCGATCCAGAAAAATTAAGATATTTCAAATCTTCTGAAATTGTGCAGTGGTTTCATGTGAGAAACAGACTGAAATTGAAGCCATTATTAACTGAAGATCTTGACATTGGCTCTAGATTTGTTCATGAGAAGTAGCCATGTCCAACAAGTGAACAAATAATTAGAGCCAGTCGGTTTCCCTCGCAAAGCCATTGTGTGACTTGCAAGTCATCCAGGCTAGGACTGTGCAATCAATGGCATGCGATTGTCAAGCGCATCTCGTCAGTAAAGCCGGTTCCGTGATTAGTAGTAAATCTGCATCACCTGCTTTCAGATGGAGCACCATTTACTACACAGAGCCATAGTTCACTGACAATTAGGCAATATCGTGTTCATTATCGCAGGCGATTCAATCTGTGAACGTAATATTGCCTAATTGTCAGTGAACTACGGCTCTGTGTAGTAAATGGCGCTCCATCTGAAAGCAGGTGATGCAGATTTACTACTAATCACGGAACCGGCTTTACTGACGAGATGCGCTTGACAATCGCATGCGATTAATTGCACAGCCCTAATCCGGGCCAGTATTATTTGTATACCATTACAGTATTTATTAATATTTTGAATTAGCTTTTATTTTTAGTTTAGTAACATTTTAGTAATTTTGTGCTTTTGTCATTTTTACTGTTTTTTTTATGTTACTATTTGTTTCATTTGTATTGTTTTACTTCAGTTTTTTTTTTTTTAGTGCTTTAACTTTTTTGTTTAGTTCAAGTCCATTTTTATTTAATTATTTAATAATAATATTAATAATTGACCATATTTTTTTAAATATTTTTTTTATAGTTTCAGCAAGTTCCCTGGATATCCTGATGAGTGATGGTGAGGAGGAGAGCTCCTTCCTCTCGTTGCCCAACTCTGTCCTTCAGCGCCACTGTTTGACCTCTGACCTCTCTGAAACGGCCACCTCAGAACAGCAGCAGCTGCTCATACAGGTATGACCCTATAATACTATTCTAGTATTAACCTGGGCAATTAATATTACAAGTTGTCCTCACTAAGGCAAGCATCACTGTTATAACTGCTTATAACTGGGTTTAGGGATTTACTGCAACGCATTATTTTCAGTTTCTGTGTAGTAGAATATTTACACTACCATTCAAAAGTTTGGAGTAAGATATAATTTTTTTTTTTAATTATACTTTTATTTAGCAAGTATGCATTAATATGATCAAAAGTGGAAGTAAAGACATTTATAATGTTATAAAAAAAATTCTTCCAAATAAATGCCTTTTTTTATTATTTTTTTTTTATTACTGAATCCTGAAAAATGCATCCACACTGAAGACTGAAAATTCAGCTTTGCCATCACAGGAATAAGTTATTTTTTAAATATATTAAAACAGAAAACCGTTATTTAGGTATAAAAATATTTCACAATATTACTATTTGTACTCTATTTATGATCAAATAGGCCTCAATGCAGCCTTGGTGAGCATGAGACTCCTTTCAGAAACAGTAAAACATCCTACCAATCCAAACTTTCAAATGATACTATGTACATATACATTAAACTCAACCGTCAGTGTTTCTGTGAGATAGTGTTGTGACTGAATCCGTCTTCACCAGATCACTACATTCAAGAGCTGGTTACTGTGTGACTGGTCTGTTCTGTAGCTGTGTGATCGTTGCGTAATGGGTTTCAAAGGGTTAATAAGTCACAGCTAACAGGCAGCGCTGCCTCTTTGTTCTGTTTAAACAATGTTATCAGCTTTAGGGTTTCTCAGAGGAGCTGGTTGCTCAGGCTCTCTGTAACTGACCTCGGGGTCCATGTGTTTCAGTGTAAGATGCCCTCAGAGCAACATCTGCAGGCAAATCACATTTCCGTTGGTTTATGAGATGGGCTGCTATTTGCTCATCCAACAATCTTGTTTATTAGTCTGTATCAAATCTAAAAACACCTTCTATTTTTATGCTTAAGTTTAAAATAATAGAGAATTGAATGTTCGCTCAAGTGGACCACTGATTGGCAATTAAAGCTAAACGTTGTTTACAGGTTCTGAAGATAATTTGAGTGGTGTTTGACCACAATGACGCTATGTTTGGGAGTTGGTGCCAGTGTGTTGCTGTGTGGTTGTTTATTGGTTGCTTGGAAGTAAAATAAGTTCCCAAGTCTTTGCTCTCTTGGGTTGCGTTGCACCTTCCGTTCGTAAGTTTTTTTCTTAAACTGGAATATGAAGTCCACACTGGAAACTTAGTGTGTACTAGCTAGGTTCTAACTAATTCTGGACTTTATTCGGTTGCATTTCGAGTTGTTCTTAAGGCAGAATGTAGCTGGGTCGTAAACTCTGTAAAGTAATGCATAGTTGCATATGACATGTACCCTTAATAATCCAATAGCAGCTTTCAAATATGTGAGCAAAAATTGTATTAATGCTGTGAATTTCAATCTAAATTGTATGTTTCCATTGAGATACTATGAAATATTCCATAGATAACTGTTAAATTTAAAAAATGTTAACTTTTTTTTTTATGCAAGTAAAATTCTGAAACTGAATTTGACATTAATAAGGATCAATAAATAAATACTAATACAAAAAAGTACGATTTTCATTTTTTGTTTTTGTTTTAAGGACAAGGATGCACACACAGGGTCACTGCTTAGATTGGGTTCACATCGAAGAGTCACTAACAAAGTAATTTATTAAGAAGTGTAAACATTATCATATACTGTATGTGTGAAAAATTTAAGTTTGTCAAGTGAAACATGAGTTTGTTTTATTCCAACCATTACTCCTGGTCGGAGGCTTGTGTAAATGCATTAGTTGTAACATAGTGCTCCTTTATGTCAAAACTAGGCTAAGTTGCGCAGAGCTGGTGAAACCAGCCCCTGGTCCCTAGATATGACTGGAGTTACATAACATGATCCACTGTTAGTGAAGCATTTGGAGAGCAGTCCTTCTCTCTTTGATCTCCAAGGGTGGATAAACATATCTAAAACAGACAATCTGGAGTGAGATTTGAGTGCACTGGAGTTTTCAGTCTTTTCAACATACCATGAGCACAGGAGAGATCCGATTGGCTGGAGATCACACGTGTGGTGTGTCCTCATCTCTGCTTTTCAATGCATTGATGACTCTTCTCAATACAAACAATAGTTTAGACATGGGCTAGCCTTGTTTATGTGCTTCTCTAGATCTATCCGTGTTGACTAGGCAGTGTTACCTGTGAAGGTGCAATGATTTCCAGTCTAATGAATCACTGAAATACAGGATTTTAACTAAGACATCAAATTTTCAAATATAACTTAATCTCAATGAGTTGGTATGTGCACATTTTTCCTGATATTCGAGGTTGAGTTATTTTGTTTGATTTGCTGTTTCAGAATTTGTCCATATTTGAGACACCACTGATCTTTTTGTTTTCATGCTTTTCTACTCTCCTTTTTCCCTCTCGTTCTTCATTTGTGTGTCTCTGTGCTGCCTTCTCACCATTTCACCTGTACAGAAGGTTACTTTGTCCTGTTCCTGGACGTCTGCCTACGTAATTCCCTCTGATTCTTTCTTTGTGCTTAGCTGTGAGCTACTTTGCGTCGTTCTGACGTCAGCTTTACAAAGCACACTGTACTGCAGTATAGTCTCTTATGTTCAAAGATCTACCCTGTTTGCTTAAATGTCTCTATTAGAGGTTTTGTAGTCATCTTGGTATCCAAGGTAGTTTGTGCCAGTAGGAATAGTCACTTGCCCATCAAGCTTTCTTGTGAAGTTAAAGGAATAGTTTAATTTTGTCTTCATTTACTCTCATTCCAAACTTGTATGATTTTCTTTTATTCTGTTGATCACACATTTTTGTAGATGTCCTGGCTGTTCTTTCTGTTACTGCAAAATCATAAAGTGACACTTTTCAAATTTGTTTTTGTTTTTTTTATATATTTTATTTTGCATGAACACTTCTAAAGAAAAAAAGAAAAATCTACCTATGTGTGACCTAGCCCTTTCTACAGTTTTTCCCTCATAGTTCAGGTTGTGTAAGGTTCTTTAGCACGGCTGGCATTCATGGTTCCTTGTGTATTTGTGCAGACACTGCAAGAGAGAGTTTGTGAGTTCCAGGCACGTTTGCGCAGCGAAGACGCCGCAAAAAGACACCTGCTACAGCGACTGCAGACACACGACCACCAGCTCAACCAAGACAACCACCAGAACGAGGAACAGTTGTCCATTAATCAAGAACCTCAAGAGCAGCTCAGACTGCAGGACGGCCAGCTCATCCAAGCTGTGTCACCTACAGGTGAGAGAGAGAGAGAGTCCTGATATGAGATTCGAGAACCACGATCATATTTTGCGCATGTTTTGCGCAGCTTGTCGGTGAACAACGGCTCTGTGTAGTTTAATGCTGCTCCATGTGAAAGGCCGCAGGTGATGGAGATTTACCGCTGATTACAGAATGGCTTTACTGACAAGATGCGTGTTAAATATCGCATGCAATTTATCGTGCAGCCCTTATATATATATATATTTATTATTTTATTTTATTTTTTTATCATTATTATTATTATTGGTTACACTTTATATTACGGTGTCCTTGTTACATGCACCAATCGATCGGCCAGGGATCGTAATCGGCCGATTTTCCTCATGATCGGCCCGGATCGGTCGGTCAGTCTCACTTTTTTCCGATTTCGAGCCGATCCGTTTGGTTACCAGCGGCACAGGCAATAACATCAGCCGCGCATTCTCACTCTCATCTCTCCGATGACCCCTTCTCTCACACACGTCTCATTCGCTCCGGTTAAATAGTGCTTGTATTGCGCATTATAGTCATTCCCGCAGGTTTCGCGCTTATACCAAACGTGCGTTGCACCACTGATCTATATTAGTGGAGCGCATAAGCTGCGCTCAGTCTCAAACAGCTTGTGAGCCACAAATACCAAAATGGTTGGCTAACTGGGCTAAAACGTTCAAATACATACAAAATTGTCAAAATACCCGTCTTGGCGACTAGCCAGTTAAACAGTCAGTTTTGGAACGTTAAATAGTTGAGAAAGAGAGCACATGTTGTGTAACAGTATATTGGGTCCGTGGATAAACTCTTAAAGGGACCGCGGTCCAATATTCCTGCTGCTGTCTGTTATGTTAATCAAAGAACAAAAGACAAAGAAAATCATTTTCTGCTCTTGACTGAATACGTTTTATAACTTTAATGGTAAGCATTAATCTGTATTTAATTTTTACAATGAAGACTACAGAAATTAAAGTAATCAAATGTAAAATAACACTGGATGTGTTATTCTACATTGATTAATTTCTGTAGTATTTCTTACCTGAATAAAAACTTACTTAACCTGAAAAACTTAGTTTCATAGCTCTCTTTATTCTATTGCATTTATTTGTGCTGTTGTTTGCCATTTTTTTATTTGTTCTTATTTTGTTACTGACTTTTTACTTGTGTTTTTTATGAAAATAAAACTTTGCGTTGAAGAAAAGTAGATTTTTGTTTGTGTATGCTGTCAATTATAGTTCTTTGAAAGAAATCGGAATCGGCAAAAATCGGTATCGGCAGATCACACTATCAAAAAATCGAAATCGGCCAAGAAAATTGCAATCGGTGCATCTCTGTGTGTAATTATATCTTCAAGTACAGAGTAATATTAATTAACTACATGTACTTACTATATGGTTAGGGTTAGGATTAGAGTTTGGCTTAGGGTTACTTGCATGTAATTCTGCATAATTGTTGTTATTATAATAAGTACATGTGCAACAAGGACACCTTAAAATAGTGTTACATTATTATTATTAACTATTATATTTCTGATATTTTAAATTCTTGTCTTGTGAGAAAATTAGAAAAAAGCTGCTTGTATGGTGGAATAAAAGTCATATGGGTTTAAAATTAAATGAGTAGGTTGAGTAAATGTTTTTTTTTATTTCCTTTTTTTTTTTTTTAAATAAAAAGCAAGTTGGACTTGCTTTTCCCATTGTAGAAACGTTACATAATTACAAACATTATTAATACAAATATTTTATTTTAATTATAAAATGTATTTCTTTACAGTTTGTTTATTTTTTCTATATTTCATTAATAATATAAAATATATTTATTACTTATCTTGTGACCTAAAATTAGAAAAAGCTGCTTGCTTGTCATAAAGTGTGTATGTGTGTGTGTTTTTGTAGGTGTGAGGAGCTCTAGTGTTTTGAGACAGAGGCCTGTGGATTTTCCCAGTGTTGTACAAGTGAGTAAAGTTCACTCACAGGAGCAACTGCAAAAAGACGAGGGAGAAAAACTCGCTCTCATTACAGGGCTGCACACACAGGTACGTTGAATACACACACACACACACACACACACACGGAGAGAATAGGGATCAGTTTTCCAGCCAGACTCACAAGAGCACCACCAGATCATTTACATTCCTCAGCCACCATGTATTGTGACCTTTTATGCATTGATATTCATTGTTTCTGTCTGGTTAGATTAAAATAGATCGATGCATCATGAGGGTGGATGCATGAAACTCACTGACTCATTTTTGTAAAGGGATTTGGCTGAATAATGCTGTTGGTTTGTGGTTTTGCAGGTCAAGGAGCTGGAGGAGAAACTAGTGGATCAGACGCAGGAGGTGGAGAGACTGCGCTCTGAGCTGGTGAGAGACTGAATTATTAGGGACGGGGAGAGTTGTGGCACACTCTGTGCCATTGTATGAATCACCTGATCCTGGTGGGCTAAAGTCACCACACTTGTGTGAACCACATTTCTATTGTTTAATAAAGAGCTCATGCTCCTGCATGTTTACACTGACCTGATTTAGTTTTATAATGGGAGGGGAGGGAGTGTTAACCTGGTGATCTAGTTTTGTTTTGTTGATAGCAGAGGAATGTATGCCTTCAGCCCTGTAAGATTTACAATTGGCACTGATCTCAAATTTGAGATGGGTGTGAGTGTACTTAACTGTACTTTACAACTTTGTCCCCCAAAGAAAGCTAAATATAATAAAACCTCACCCCCTTTTGGTTCAAACGATTACTTTCATATTTTAAAAAAAATGATGCATTGTTGCTCAAATGTGACAGTAAAGACATTTTTAATATTACAAAAAATTTATATTTCAAATAAATGTGTTTTTTAGCTTTCTATTCCTTAAAGAATCCTGAAAAAATGGATCACTGTTTCCACAAAAATGTTAAGCAGCAAAATCTGTTTTCAACATTGTTCAAAAAATGTTTCAGAAATAAATTACTTTTTAAAATGTAGTCAAATATAAATTTTTTTACAGTTTTATGGTATTTTGGATCAAGTAAATGCGACCTTGGTGAGTATAAGATACTTTTTCAAAAACATTAAAAATCTTACTCAATGACTCAAAATGCATATGCAGTGCACATATGTTTACTATGGGTGTCATTACTGTAATGGACATTTGCTTATATTAACTGATCCAAATGTATTCACACATTGAAAATTCTTTAAAATCTTTTTTTTATTATATTAATGTTTTCCCCCCAGTATAATGATTTATGGGATATGGAGAGGCTTTAGTTTAGAATTTGCCAATAATAATTATAGTTAGTATACAAAACTATTAGAAGTCAATAGTAAGTCCTCATTTAGCTAAGTAAATGTATGTGTATGTGTGTGTGTGTCTAGGGGGCGACAGATCTGGAGAAACAGCTCGAGGTGCTGGAGAGTGAGAACCAGCGGCTCAAACAAGAGCTGAGGGCCAGTCAGACCCAGACCACCTGCTCTACTGGCCACTGCCCACACAGCCAAGTACTCACACAACCATAAATCACTTAAACCTCAAATACATTCAGATAGCTTGTTTCTGGACTGAGATCATAATTACTTGATGCTGTAAATGTTGTAGTGTTTCACAGCTGTCCTGTAATGCTCCTCTCTGTGTCTGTCCCAGGATGTGGAGGCCCTGCGCGGAGAGCTGTGTCATAAAGACGAGGAGTGCCGCGAGCGGGAGCGGCGACTGGCTGCGCTGGAGCAGCATGTGCAGGAGAGGACGGGTGTAGTAGTTCAGCTGCAGCAGCAGCTGGAGGAGGCGGCGCAGCGCAGACAGGAGCTCCAGCAGCAGCTGGAAGAGGCGTCACGTCTCAGGAGCCAGAGTGAGGAGCAGCTGACCTCACGGCTTCGTGATGCTGAGGAGGCTCTGTCTCGCCAGGCTGCTCTGACACCACAGGTCAAGGTGAGAGTGTGCTAATGAAGCATTAGTTGTGTGTCTCATTTCAAAGCCTGCTCTGTCCGGAGGTTGCGTTTGTCAGCTGCTGATGTCATTGCGGGTGTCTCATTTAAGTAACGTAAGCTACATTATACAAATGACAGTTATTCCTCATGAGCCGCAAATTACTGTCATTTCTTTCTTACTGTGCTTTGGAATGGTTATTTTTCTTAAATGATACATCCCAATGACGTATATGGCTAACAGATATGACCTCCAAAGAATACAGGCTTCAAAATATTGATGTTATATTGAGATTTTTGAAATGAGATTTGAAGTTCTATTATAGAGACTTCTTGCAGAAAATTTTTGTCTTCCTTGCATTTTTTTTTTAAATTAGTTTACAAATTTTAGTTTAGTTTTTAGTTTAAAAATTTCTCTATATGTAATGCTCACCAACTCACTCAGCCAAACATTAAATGTTGGAATCGTGTCCAGTTTACTATTTTTATAATTATGAGCAAAAAAAAATACAATCTTAATTATTCCAAATTTTTGACTGGTAGTGTAAATAAAGCGATATACATTTATTCTAATTAAGAGAAGATTCACAAATTGGCCCCAGAATAGCAAACATAGAATCTGGCATTATTTCCATTTTTTCCTTGTGTACAGTATATTGTGTAGTCACCTCTATTACCACTTCAGACTACGCATACTCTCTTCCCATTTACAGTACCAAATACCCTGAGAAGTCACAGGGCGCTCAACATTAGGAATGCACCAAATATATTGATTCTCTGCCTCTGACCAAAAACAAGATGCACTTCTCCTAACTGAAGTGATTTAATCTGTTTCTCACTGTTCCTGCAGTATGTGACCAAGACGGTTGAAGTGGAGTCGGCCCAGTGTAAGCAGGCTTTAATGGAGGCTCAGGGCCGTAATCAGGCGCTGCAGGAGCAGCTGAGTGTTCAGAGGCAGCTCCTCAGAGAGCTGGAGCAGCAGCTGCACGAGTCCCAGAGAACCAGCAGTCAGCTCCGCCAGCAGGTATATCACACTCACACGCTGTTTTGAGTGTCTGAATTATCATGCGGCCAAATGCTGCTCAGATCTGACCCCGTCAGTAGTGGTCTGTTGATATCTGTTCTCATGTCTTCTCAAAGGCCAAGTGGTTTGGTGTAAGTTTAAAAGAATCCTATGAAATCCTTCATATTTTTTCCCCCAAATTGTGTTTCAATTTTAAATTGGCTGGATTTTAATAAAATTTAAATGAATAAAAAGGACTTTAACGATTTAATATTTAATTAAAATGTTAATATTACTCTCTGAAATTATTTTTCAGAAATCTGTTAATTTTTCTAAAATGTGTTTTATTTGATACACATTTATCAAAAATGGTGGTTATCAAATGAATGCATAAAGATAACAATTAAATTAATCTTACATAATCAAATTGAATGAAATTTGAAGAAAATCCTTTTTTGGCAAAGGAAATGCTGCACAACAGAGGTTTGCATTAAGTTTTTGCTTAAAACATGAATGAAAAATGCTTATATTGTGTGATATTCCTTTAAAACATTAACAAACCGTATTATTATTACTTTGAGAAGTACATTCTACTGTACAGTAGTAATATATTTCTGTCATAACTTGGTTATGAAGTTAAACCTAACACTTATTTTGACTGGTTGTAGTGAAGACCTTTGAGTTTTTTGTGGATCTGCTGATCATTTTTATCAGGTGAAATGCTGATGAAGTGACTCTCAGAGCAGCTCTGGAGATGAAGTTTGTGTGATCATGTCCTCGTATAGTAAAACGGCAGATGCTGAAAACTCCATAAGCATCACACATGATTCAGTATGTTTAGTAGATGAAACTGTGCCACTCATTCGCACAGAATTCAACCCAGAACATGCAGACTTCATATTTACATAGCAGTCTTTTTGTACTTTAACCTCTTCCGAGACACTAATCCGTAAGGTTATTTGATTGATTATTTTGATTTATTCATCCAACATTCCACATTATACTGTCAGTTCCATGTTTTATGACTGGACTCCATGATTCTGTCTGTGTTTTCTGCATCGTGGTCTAGTTTCAGGCCTCTCTGATATCGGTGTTGTGACAGAGCAGGTTAACGGCTCTCTCTCTCTCTTCACTTGCGTTGCAGCTGAGGACGGACCACGGCCGTCTGTATGGCCTGCTCTTCAAGGCGGTGGGTGGGGGTAACACGGAGGTCACCCACAGGCTCTCCAAGGTCGGCCAGATTACTCTGCAGGGGTCAAAGGTCAAAAATGTGTCATGGGTCAGATTCCAACTGTGATTATAGGAAGCGGTTTACTGTGAGCAGACTTCTGTGTCTTTGTCCCATTTTAAGTGCCATTCAAAAATGTAGATACATGTTGGCTCATGCTCATTTTTGACCTGTGAAACTTTGCAGAGTAACTAGCTCACATTCCCTTCAGGGTTACACTTTATTCTACCTGCAGTAGAAATCCCATGTAACTTACTGTGAAATAGTCAATGTCACCCCCATTGTGTACTTCATATGTATTGATGGTGCGTGACCCCAGATGCCCTTCCCATGTGTGACCAACAGCCCTCCACCCACCCACAGGTCTTTTTTCACTTAACTAACTGCATTAGATCAGTCTAACTAATGACTCTGGTTAGTAGTCATGACTGGGTTTGTGTTATGTTGGTCAGAAGTAAAGCTATTTTATTAAAATAAGGTGAAACTCGGGATATCTCTGTGCTCGTCTGTGATGTGTTAAACTGTGTTGTGATGATTTAGCATTAAAGTGGAAAGTAGTGGTCAGCTGATATGTTTTTTTTATATATATTTGGAAGTATAATGACCAATATAACACTGATATATGATATCACAGATATCAGATGTTTGACTGGTTGTGTAGATAATGCATGCATAACAATTGCAGCAGTGAAATTGAAATTTAATTTACACATTGCTTTAGCTTCACAAATATCTTACATAAAATTATAAATCATTTAAATGATGATATCTGAACTTAATAAAATTTGTAAAACTGATTTATACTTTATATAGAAATTCTTGGTTCTGTAATGCTACTGTAGTAATTTGAAGTAAACACTGTAACCGCAGTCCAGTCTGAACAGGGTTACAGTTGAGGACTGTTTGATTGTATATTTTGCCTTTTGAGATGTTTGGATAACTGGTTTTCTCATGACCTCTGAATAAGATCAAATCAGTGTCTGTAGAAAGGCGTTTACACTGACAGTGATCTTGATACAGTTGAGTACAACCAACAAATCATACAGTGTGTTGGCGATTTAATCTCTGTCATTGTAAAAGCTCCTTTATATTACCTTATGTAATTCCTCCTTTAAAACATTTACTATTTGCATAGAACTTATGAGCTCAGTGACACAGGATGTTGTTGACCTTGGGGTCGTGTGTGTGTGTGTTAGATCCTGGTGTATGAGAGTGAGATGGAGAGAGCTCAGGGTCAGCTGGAGGCAGAGATGCAGAGTCTGGAGGAGGAGAAGAACAGAGTGATCGAGGAAGCTTTCATCAGAGCAGAGAGCGAGATGAAGGCCGTCCACGAGAACCTAGCAGGTGAGATCATGCGTGTATGAGTCCAGGTCTTGTTTCATCCTCAAGTCAAAATAGAAATAGACCTAAGTAATTATATTGTTCTTAAACAAAACAAAACCCATTAGGATTTTCATGTTTTAATCTCATATTCTTATTACTTTGATGCAAAAAAAAAAGTGTTTTTGTTAAACATATTTCACATAGTAATAACAGTAAATTATGCACAATTACAAGCAATTAACCATAAAGTCAAGTCACCTTTATTTATATAGCGCTTTTAACAATACAGATTGTGTCAAAGCAACTGAACAGCATTAATTAGGAAAATAGTGTCAGTAATGCAAAGTGACAATAGTAAACACTAATTGTTATTATGCCATAAACCAAATCCTATAATTGTACATGTTGTTAATTCATATTTCTCAATACTTATTTGTGTAATTAAATTGAAACAAGGACACCTTAAAGTAAAACAACCAGAAAATATACTTAAACTAAAGTGTTTGGCATATCATAGTGCTATTTGTACTGTCTTTTGTATTGCTTTATATAAAAATTGTTATTATGCCATAATTTATTATTCATTTTAATATTGTACAACTGTATTAGTGTAATATTATTTTTTACAAAATCTAATTTAAAAAAAACTTTAGTTTTTTGTTGCCTATTTTTCTTTTACCTGTTAATGTGGTAAAGCCACAATTTATGGATGGATGGATGGATTGTTTTTCTTTCAAAAAGTCTTTTTTTTTTTTTTTTTTTTTTTTTTTTTTTTTTTTTTTTCTTTTTCTTTTTTTTTCTCGACAAACTGTACTTCCTTAGAAAGGTCAAAGACAAATTGAGATAAAATTTGACCTTTGTTTTGTTGTATATATCTTACAGTGACGATTTATTTTTGTCAGACTCCATGCCTTTATGAAATATGAGCCCCTTATACATCCACTGAGAAAAAACTTCCTCAGGGCTTTTAGTCCAAAGGTGTGCTCATTTGGGTAAAAACCTGGATTCTTCACCCTGACGAGACTCAACATTGGGAATATTGGAAATTAATTTTTTTTTTTAAAATCTGACAATAAAAATGTTTTACTTAATTATCATGAAAAATAATGTCACAATACAAAAAATGGTTACACTTTATTTTAAAGTCCAATTCTCACTATTAACTATGACTTGCCTCAATAAACTCCTAATTTGCTGCTTATTAATAGTAAGGTAGTTGTTAAGTTTAGGTATTGTGTAGGATTAGGGATGTAGAATATGGTCATGCAGAATATGTGCTTTATAAGCACTAATAAACTGCCAATAGGTTAATAATAGGCATGCTAATAAGCAACTAGTTAATAGGGAGAATTGGTCCCTATACTAAAGTGTTACCAAACTATTCATGTTTCTAAAAAAAGGCTTCAGTTTATATGTTTGTAAATTTTTCATTTTATATAGTTTATTATTTCTCTTTTGATTGTTGTACAACAGGTGTGCGGATGAACCTCCTGACACTGCAGCCGGCCCTGAGAACCCTCACCTGTGATTACAACTGTCTGAAGAGACAGGTGCAGGACTTCCCTTACATGCTGGAGAAAGCCATCACTGAGGCGAAGCAGGAGGTGAGAGCAGCGCACACGAGCTCACAGACACATCAGCCTGACCGCAACTCATCAGTCGTGTCCGTCTGTGATTACAGATCTGTCAGGTGATTGGAGAGGTGAGCAGTGCAAACCAAGAGCTGCTGCGCAAATACAAGCGGGAGATGAACCTGAGGAAGAAATGCCACAATGAACTGGTGCGCCTCAAAGGTGAGACCGCAGAGATCTCTGGGAATTGTGTAGTTCGATTCATATCATGTAGTTGGATTCTGTGAAATTAAACATTCTAATGATAAAGATCTTGTTTTTTAGGAAACATTCGTGTGTTGTGCCGAGTACGTCCCGTATGTGCTGGAGAAACAGATGCTGCTGACACCAAAAACATAGTGACCTTTGATCCTGATGATGATGCTGTTCTCTACTTGTCTAATAAGGGCAAGCTCATGACCTTTGAACTTGACAAAGTCTTTCCCACTCAGGCCACTCAGGAGGAGGTTAGTGCCTGAACTAGTTTTCAAATATGGTTGTATTTCCTGTATCAGTTATTACATCACAGTCTTGTTATTATATCTTTCTTGTGATTGGACAGGTGTTCCAGGAAGTGCAGTCTCTGGTCACTTCCTGTATTGATGGCTTTAACGTATGCATCTTTGCCTATGGGCAGACTGGCTCTGGAAAGACCTATACTATGGAGGTATATAACATGTTCCCAAATTTCACCCTCAAACTAAAAAAATAAATAACTATATTGTCCTAAAAGAAAACCAAGGCCATAAGGACCTTAGATTTTTTGCATTGTGGCAATATTTTTGTATCAAAAAATAGGTATAATTTGTTATGCATTACATGTACTTACTAATTAATTCATATTTATATAAATATTATAAAATATATTTAAACTATTTATATAGTGCATGTTTGTACGTTAATTATTTAATATTATAATAAAATATAATTTAGTATTTAGAGGTTTTTGTTGTATTGTCATATATGCTGCTTTATATAAAATTTTAATATTATATTAAAACCATATTTTATTATTCATTTTAACACTGTAACAGTACTTTTCATCATTCTAAATCTAATCTTTAAAAAAAAATCTCAATGAATATCAATTATTCATACTGTTAAACATTGTTGCGTTACTTACATTTAAACCAATTTTATTTACTTAAAAACAGCGTAGAATTTTAATATCAGCCATTTGTTGATTATAAGTCATAACATGTTGGTTATGTAATTTTCGTGTCAGTCTCTCATGTCTGTGTTTCATGCAGGGTGTCCCTGAAGACCCTGGCATTAACCAGCGTGCACTGCGGCTGCTCTTCTCTGAAGTGTCGGAGAAAAAGCCTGACTGGGACTACAAGATCACCGTCAGCATGGTGGAAATCTACAATGAGACCCTTCGGTGAGAAAAACAGACACAAGTAGAGCTGCACGGTGACAGCAGGAGGGAGAGATGATGAGGAGGATCATCAAATGCTCTGCAGGAGCTGTTTCAGTGTGATGTGCTCATCACTGCAGCATATTTAGCACTCCTTTTATATAATTGTCCCAATGTGTTCACAGTGAAGTGTGTGTGACCTGCCACAGATTCTGCCGGTCAGCGGTTTTGTAAAAACCGATTAGATTTAAAATCACTCAGACCATCTGCAAGACACAAACAGATCACATGACACGCATTTCCCCCTGCACTGTCTATTCGCTCACCCTGTCTTGCCTCATGACGTGTCGTGTAACTCAAACAGATGTGCGTAGGTTCTGATTCAGCTTGCCTGTGAAATGTTCATCTGTGCTCCACTTTAAAGGGGTCATATGATGCTGCTAAAAATAACATTATTTGGTGTAATGTAATGTTTATGCAGTCTAATTATGCTACCTGTCGTCACTTCACACTTTAGAGCCAGCTTCATGAACGAATATCACCACCTTAGATTGAATTTTAATGGAAAAAGCAAAAAAAAAAAAAGTTTCCTTGTATAATGTTTATGCAGTCTAAGGTTCAAAAAACATTCTTTTCCACATACTGTACATTATTGTTGCTCCTCTATGCCCCGCTTTTCTGAAACGTGTTGATTTTTACAAAGCTCATTGGTCTATAAAAGCGAGGTGTGCTCTGATTGGCCAGATATCTTGTGCGTTGTAATTGGCCGAATACCTCAACCGTGTGACGGAAATGTTACGCCCCTTACCATACTGTGATGCCGTGTCCTGGCCGGAGCGACAAGACAAAAACATTAAAACCCATTACAAACGAGGCATTTGTTGCATCCAGTGGGGACATAATTACGGATTATAATGACTTGTACTGTCTTTTTACACGTTGCATTGTGTATCGCGCCGCGTAAACAAAACCATGTCTGCATTTGTGATCGGAGAAACAACAAGTGCTACTCTACACTGCTCAAAACGCACGTTTGAATCGTCAGTGGCAAATCCTTTTAAATATGAAAACATACTTACAGGCTGTGAGTCAGAACAGCCGGCATTGTAGTCTACTCTACCAGGATCAGGAAACAGTTGCACACACACAAATATTTGGTTTGAACTGTTCTGGAACAGTGTTGTAAATACAACTTAACCACTGATTTCTAGTTGTGCCCTCTTTTGGAAGGCCAAACAAAGTAGTTTCGCTTTCACAACTAAACACACAGCATCTCCACAACATGGCGGCGGCGGCGGCGGCAGCAACAATACTACAGCGAGAATAAAAGTTACGCCTTCTTTCTTTGCATAAACATCTGGGTGGTGTTCCCACACAGTGACGTAGACATGTGGGGGCGTGTTTGAACTAGGCGTTTTAGGAGGGCTTGGACGAGTCTTAACTTTTATAAAGAATATCTCTTTGGGTTTGAGACTTTAGTCTTTGCAACTTTAGAAATCTTATCTATGCACGAACAGCTTGTAACACTCCAAAGAGAAAGGAAAACTTAAAATCGCATCATATGACCCCTTTAAGTTTTGCGCATTCCTTAATGTCAACAGATAAAATGAATTAATTTGTCTTTATCCGATTCCAACAGGAACCTGTTGGGCGACAATCCCAATGAGAAGCTGGATATAAAGATGTGTCCAGACGGCAGTGGACAGCTGTACGTGCCAGGACTCACAGAGTTCACCGTGGAGAGCGTGGAGGACATTAACAAGGTGAAGCTCACAGCATCCAACCAGAATTATGCTACCTGTCGTCACTTCACACTTTAGAGCCAGCTTCATGAACGAATATCACCACCTTAGATTGAATTTTAATGGAAAAAGCAAAAAAAAAAAAAGTTTCCTTGTAAGGTCAGTTTGTCTTATTATAGTAAAGCATATCCATTGCTCTGAAAACTGTGAAAAAAGTAAATTTTTACTGCTTAAAAGTATACTTCATATTTTAAATGTGTTATCATATTGGATATGCAAATTTCTAAGGCCTCTAAATTATCAAAACTTTGCTGAAAAATCTGTTGTACACAATCTACTATGCCTTCATCTGATATATTATAAAAGGCATTTTAGTATGTGTACCTTTAGGCTTAATGATTTTTATAAAGTAAATGTATAGTAAGCATAACTTTTATATTATCAAAAATCATGTTAAAACGCGAGTATCAAACATGATACATCAGGCTTTTGAGAAAGTGTTTCCTTTCAAACATTTTTAAAAAATAAAATTTTTATTATTTCAGATATTACAATGTTAAGGTGTCCTTGTTACAGTGTAATTATACAGTTAAATACTGAGTAATATTAATTAGCAACATGTACTTACTATATTAAGGTTTGGTTTAAGGTTAGTTGCTTGTAATTATGCATAATTTACTGTTATTACTATAGTGTAACAATGACAATTATAGTATAACACCGGCACTGTAAAATAGTGACACTTTTGAAGTTATTTAGTGAAAGTAGATGTGTTCAATTGTCAGTGTTCTGATGCCAGGCCGGTCATATAGACGAGCATCAACCCATTTCAGTTTAATTCATTGTTTGTAATCGCTGACCTTTGACCCTGCAGGTGTTTGACCTGGGTCACATGAACAGGGCGACAGCGTGCACTAATCTAAACGAGCACAGCTCTCGCTCTCATGCCCTCCTTATTGTCACAGTGGCGGGTTTCAACTCTTCCACGGGCCACCGCACCTCAGGTACACACCATGTTCATTTAAACAGTAAATCGTTCAAATGCAAATATGAAACCTTCACTTTTTGTCCTAATTTTTGCAGGTAAGCTCAATCTGGTGGATCTGGCTGGTTCCGAGCGGATTGCCAAATCTGGCGCCGAGGGCAGCCGTCTGCGCGAGGCTCAGTGTATCAACAAATCACTGTCTGCGCTGGGTGACGTCATCAATGCCCTGCGCTCCAAACACTCGCACGTGCCCTTCAGGAACTCCCGCCTCACGTACCTGCTGCAGGACTCGCTCAGCAGAGACAGCAAGACCCTCATGATGGTGCAGGTGTGTGAGCGCTGTCTGGATCACTGGGTCAGCAGGGTTATAATGGAGAGAGGCTTACTTTAAACCTCGACACATTTTGAGTGGATTAGAATGGATTTAGGGATAAAGACTGTACTTGGTACAGCACGAGCAGACCAGGTATTTTAAGCAGTTTGTGCTCCTGTTGATTTATGCAAATCGCCACAGAAATCACCTCTTATGCTAAAGAACTTTGTTGTGGACTAATGGAATCAAAAAGTCTGTTGTATTAAAGGTGAAATTAAATCAAAACATATTTAATTTCCCAATAAACGTGCCTGGTCATTTTATGCACAATTTACTAGTAGCTGAAAAACTCACGACATGCCGTTATTACCATAATTACTTGATGACAACCTGGGATGTTCTACTCCGAATTCTTTTTCTACGGTAACACTGTTAATGCCAAAATGAATCTATTTCATTTGAGCAATCAGTAGACAAAACCACAATACAAGAAGTAATAGTCATGCAAATGCTTTATTAATAAATTTATATTTTTTTAGTGGGACATTAGTATTTAAATTCTGTGCTCGCTACATTAAACTGTATAGTGGGTTTAACGTACGTCTTAATTTTGTATTATAAGTCATTGACTGTAACCAAATATAGGTTTTATCGAACAGAAATGCTGTTGAATACTGATGAATTTTGAATGTTTTTCACTGCCATTTTGAGTGTTTCCACATAACGCCTCAAAGTCTTGATCATTTGGAAAATTTTACAAGTTGTAATTACAAGGATGTGAATGCTTTATCAGAGTCAGATTCTTGTAATTACAGTGATTCTGACACAAACACACCTTCTGTCTGTCTGTCTGTGTGTGTGTGTGTGTGTGTGTGTGTGTGTGCGCATTCCTTAATGTCAACAGATAAAATGAATTAATTTGTCTTTATCCGATTCCAACAGGAACCTGTTGGGCGACAATCCCAATGAGAAGCTGGATATAAAGATGTGTCCAGACGGCAGTGGACAGCTGTACGTGCCAGGACTCACAGAGTTCACCGTGGAGAGCGTGGAGGACATTAACAAGGTGAAGATCATAAATGGAATCATAACAAAGTGGTTTCTGAATTGGAACCACAGTACTTAAATTCCTTATGATTCTCAACACAGGTTTACAGAATTTTCTACCTACATCATGTTAGTTTTGTTTGCAGTTTATTATTCCCTCCGATGAGATTCTGAGATAACCTGAGTTTCTTCTCTCTGTATCTCAGGTGTCTCCTCTAGAGAGTAACGTCAGTGAGTCGGTTTGCTCTCTGAAGTTCGCTCAGCGTGTTCGGACTGTTGAGATCGGGCCCTCGTCTTCCTCACGCCGCCATGCGGAGAACTCCTCAACATCCTCCTCTCCAACTCATGACAGCGTGGAGGTACACCATCACAAACACACACATCCTCATTGTGCATGTCTAAGATCAATAATGTCTTTTAGATCGCAGTGGCCTCATTCAATAATACACTAATCAATACACTCATTATTCCTTTTCCTCAGCTCCTGTTCATGTTTTATAATGTGATTTGCACGTTTTAAAATTAAAGAAATTACTTTGGAAAATGTATGGTTTTCACATAGGCAACACAAATTTGTCTAAATAAGTGACAAATGTAGGGCCCCATGATAAAAGTAAACCTCTGCCGTACAACAATTTGTTTGAAAATTGTATTATTTTTTTTGCCATTTAATTTACATGTTAAAAGATTAATCAATTAAATGTAATATTTTAATAGTTTTATAATACTTTAATGTTGTATGCGGTTTTTATGATAATTGTGTATCATATATTATAAATCCAGTATTTTGTTTATTAGACATGCTTTCTGGTTATTAAAAGTTAATTAAGCTATTAATTAAACCACCTAATATGTATTTCTTGTTAACTTTTTGCTAAATTGTTAAATTTTATGGTTCATGATTTCAATCAAAAATACATGCTTTTTGATTATTACAGATTAATTATTAAAATTTAATGGAAAACATAATTTGGGAGAAATAAAATGGAATTTGGGGAAAATAAAATAAATTTGATTATAAACTTTTAATAAATTGTTAAATTGTATAAAGAAAAAGAAAATAAATAAAACTTTTCATAGGGTTCTATAAATGCAGGACAAAATTTTCAAAATAATATTTTTCTCACGTAGCTGGACTCTCCTCCCGTGACCCCTGTGCCGCTCCCCATCTCAAGGGCCAGCAGCGCAGGTTCAACCCTCTCCTCCAACTCTAAAACCCCCACAACCCGGCGGAGGTCCCACAGTCAGCTGTCCACAGGTGAGCAGACAGAGAAACAACCAACGGTCACATGACGCAGAAATACCTGCTTATATAAGACTCTGTAAATAATCTGATATAATATTACATTAGTCTCATAATAACAGCCTTGATAATCATAGCATCTGACAGGTCACGCTATGTAAAGGGGACGTCTGTACTTTCTTTGCATTGTGACGCTGTAATTGGTTGGTTTCCAGATAGACAGGTAGACAGAAGCAGCCCATTGGTTGGGGACGGTGGGCAGGTAGGTGGGGTTTTATGTGGTTGGTCGCTTGGCATGAACCGCTCAGCATGGCATGGTGCCCCACGTGTCACCTCGTCAACGCCCACCCATCTAACACAGCGCCTTTAACCCCAGGAAGCTGTGCGTGTGTGCGCGCGTGTGTGCGCGTGTGCGCGTGTGCGCGTGTGCGTGCGTATGAATGCGTGCGTGCGTGTGCGTGCGTGTGTGCGTGCGCGTGCGTGTGTGTAAATTGAGATCAGCTGCTATTTTGTTGTTGTGTCTTAGTTTTGTTTGGCCTTGTACAAGCTTACTGTATTTGTCCAATTGATTTATATCCGTTGTCTTGTGACTTTTGCAACTGTGCACTGTATTCACTGTTTGTCTGTGTTAATTGTGTGTGAAAGAGAGAGTGGTGAAAATGTTGGTGTTTTATGTCTTCACCTACAGCTCTGCTTTTGATTGGCTGGGCTGCACTGTGGTGGTGACAGAATAATGTTTATTTTTGTGACAAATGTGATTTCATTGTTGTTATGTGAGGGTAAATGAGTTCAATACTGATTACAGTAGCTCTGTTCTAAAATCTAGTGATCTGTTTTCTAATACAAGACGACACATTCGGTGCAAAAAGTTCTGTGCAATAAAGAATATGAATGAACTACTGTTACTGCATCTGTTCAGACTAATATAAACAACATTTTTCACTGAGAGATGTTCTAATCTCTTTTCCATCACACTGCGAAGAAAACTGGCCAACCATTAGGATTTGCACTTTTGGTCATATGACCAGAAACACTGCAAAAAACGCTGCAGAGTGAACTGACTTTCCTTAAAAGGGCAATGCCTCTTGGGTAACCAAGAGCAAAGTCTATCTACTTAAATGAAGAAATCCTGAAATCTCAAACTGCTTGCCACACTCAAATTTAAATATTTCAAATCAGCAACAAAACTGAACTGCCCCATCAATGTTGTTTCTTATGCTTAATTAGCATTAAACAAAAAAATAATCATATTTTTGGACTAGGGCTGGACGATATGGCCAAAATTTATATCTCTATATATTTCTTAATTTCGGTCAATACGATATAATTCTGATATCGATATGAACACTATTTATCTGAAATAGAAATCTTTTGTAACATAAATGCCTTAATCATCACTTTTGATCAATTTTAAGCATCCTTGCTAAATAAAAGTATTAATTTCTATAATTTCTTTCCCAAAAAATTATAAAAAATTATACTGAATGGAATAGTGTATAGTGTTACAAAAGCTTTTTATTTCAGATAAATGCTGATCTTTGGATCTTTCTATTCATCAAAGAATCCTGAAAAAAAAATGTACTCAACTGTTTTAAATATTGCAAATCAGCATATTAGAATGATTTCTGAAGGATCATGTGACCCTGAAGACTGGAGTAATGATGCTGAAAATTTAGCTATGTATGATCACAGGAATAAATTACATTTGAAAATCTATTCAATTTTAAATAGTAAAAAGATTTCAAAATTGTACTGTTTTACTGTACTTTGGATCAAATAAATGCAGCCTTGGTGAGCAGAAGATAATTCTTTAAAAAAATTAAAAAATAACTTTACCAGTCAAAGGTTTTTGAACAGTAAGATTTTTAGTGTAGGCTGATTATTCTTATAGATTGAAAAAAAATGTGCTTCAGCCAGAAAAAAGGATACGAAAAGTGCTCCGAGTCGCTGCAGAAAACAAAAAAAAATGAACAACAACAAAAACGGGAAATGTTGCTGGAGATGGGCTTATTGAAAATGCAAACTCATTCTCTGCCAGCAGGAGGCGCTGTGAGAGCGGTAGAACTAGCGGTTTCCCCGGGAACGGCTGTAATCAAAGCAGCTCCGCGCATGAACGCTACTTTATCAGATAAAATTAAAATGCCATCGAAACTTTTCTGAAGACAGTCAGTTCCCTTCAGAGATACATTCATATAAAACACCCATGCCGTGTTATGATTTTGAAACGTGCAGTGCTCATGTTTATTCAACGAAGTCAAACGCCACAAATAAATAAATGTATGGGAAACACTGGTAATGTATATCGGAAATGTGTTAAAAAAATCATATCACCTTTATTGAAAAAAAATTATATCGCGATACATATTGATATTGAATAATTGTCCAGCACTATTGTGGACCAGTCCTAAGGGTGCGTCTTACACAGTGTCTGTACCGAATGCGAGCGGTGCTATGCGGCGTGACTAAAGACAATAAAGCCGCTTTTCCACTACCAAATGTCAAGCGAGACTGGAAGTCATTCATTTTCAATGGAGAGTAATACAGGAGCTGCATGGAGTTCCAAGTTCCATTTGCGTATGCGGAAACTTTTCCAAACTCTTATCGTGAGGTGAGATTTACCAGTATTTTCTCACAAAATGTGTATAATTATCTACATTCAGTGTAAACATAAAATGAATTGTGCAGTTGAATTCTATAATTCAAACTTTCATGTTTGAACAGGTCACTGAAGCTCAGAAGTGACTGATTTAGAACGATCGCAGACTTTACTTTTAATTACTTTTATTGTTAGCTTAGCATGTTGCTAACATGTTCCTATTCACACCAACATGAATGTTCAGGATGAAAATTCGGTCAGCTTTTCACTAGTGATTTTTTTTGTTTTCAGCCCAATGCAATTTCACTCTCTGACAGTAGGTGGTGTTTATAGGACAGTAGAAATACAGCGGTAAACTAAACACAGCTGCGCACAAATACAAGTGTACAGAAAAAGAGACTCGGTTTCATACACGTCACCCATGTATGCAGCTTACTTGGTTTCTCAGCAGAGCGAGTGTTTCTCGTGAGGAATGAGTAACAAAATGACTAACTAAACCCCCCTGGTGTCTGAACCGTCTACTTTCTAGACCTCAAAATATGGTTAAAAATAGTGTGCAGAAGTAGCAGTAAGATAGTAAGGCCCAATCCCAATTCTGTTTTATACCCCTTCCCCTTTCCCTACCCCTCCGCCTACCCCTTCCCCTTGTCTCTTGAAACAGAGTGTCAAGGGGTAGGGGTGAAAATATTCCCCTAAGAATTGGGACACCACTACTATACGTCACACGTCATCATACGTCATCTAACTCCTACAATACACACACCTATAATGGTGTGCTGGTGTGCATTAGAGCCTTTAATTACCGTTCTATATTAATGCGCTGCTTACTGACACACACACACACACATATCAGAGATTGCGCAGCTCACACATCCAGGAGAAAAGACACTTGTCAATGCTGCCCCACGACTTTTATTAATAACTGTTTAAATACTGAATCGCTACATTTTAATTCCCAGCAACGAGAGGATAAAATCGCTGTTTTTGAAGTAAACGCACTCTAAAAAGAGAAACGTGCATACACGCAACTTTCACTTTCATTTCTTTCTCTCTCTCTCTCTCTCTCTCTCTCGCTCTCTCTCGCTCTCTCTCAGATTCC